AGCCTTTGATCCAAAGGCATCGCTGAAGGACGATAATCGTTCCCCTGGAAGCAAGTCAGCCCACGTGAAACCGTGATTATTACCTTAAACTTCAATCAAATCTTGCAACTGTCGTTATGCAGCCTCACAAGCGTTAACTTATTTGCCGTATACACTAGGGCAACCAAGTGAAAACATGCAACTGTTAGTGCCCCTCTGATTTTCCCCACCCGTTCTTTTAATCCCCTCCCAACCCCCATAACTAACCTTCCTTATAGGATTCCTAGCTTCATTGACAGCAGCGCCAATGCCATTGCAGTTTTCCCATTTGCAGATATCTTGCCACACCACCCACTGGACGCATATGGGTAACAACCCCTTATAAAGCCGCTTTGTCCCGTTTTCCTGGCGGCATTCAATGTTGGCATTCGAAGAGAAATCGGTCAATAGGCTGCTCTAGCACCCACGTTGGACACACTGGGTATTGACGCGTGCTGTGTATCTGAAACTAGGATCAATGACACTCACGGTGTTGTTGAACTAACTGTACCCGACTTGTTCTTTCGCTATTGCTTGCACGGATGCGGAGAGGCTGATGCGACAATCACTGGTCAAGCTGGAGTGAGCATTGTTCTCAGCTCCAAGGCTGAGTTATCGTTGGCTGATTGGGCTCCCGTGAAAAACCGGTTGTGTGCAGTCCGTTTGACATCAACTAAAGCTTATTTACGAAGTAGTACAAGACGTTGTTTGATTGTGGTTCACGCTTACGCACCCACCGATTGTATTTATGATGCTGCCAAGGATATATTCTACCACGAACCGAACACGCTACTAGGCAATGCTACCCGTTCAGATATCATAGTACTTGCAGGGAATAGGTATGCCCAAGTACGTCGCTTGGGCTCTTCAGTAGCTCCGCTAGGTGGCAAGTATGGACTTAATTCTGACCGAACGGACAACGGTGAGCATCTATTGCAACTACGCACGCAGCACAACCTGTTTCGTTGTAGGACCGCTTTCAGACACAGTGGGCGCCGAAGTGCCACTTGGCTTCCTCCCGTAGATGGTCAGCAATGGACCCAAATAGATCGGGCCGTAGCCTAGAGGTAACGAGCTTGCCTCGTAATCTTGTGGCGCGGGTTCGAATCCGCGTAGGGGTGGGCGTCCTCGCGGTATACTCAGCCCGTGTGCGACTAGTGGTGGTCGCACGGCAGCGAAGTGCCGTTACGGCGTACAGCTGACACATTATATATATATATATTTATATTTATATATATATATATGTATATATATATATATATATATATACATATATATATACATAAGCACGGTCTTAAGCCCGGTCTTATTCCTTCGGGTTTACACTGGATATGGGGTATGTGGTTGGAGCTGTGGGTGGTGCAGCGCAAGCCATCCATGGTCCCTCTGTAGGCGCAGGCGTCCTGTGGCTTGACACAGTGACAGGCAAATCCGAAACCGGATGCCGCCAACCATATATATATATATATATATATATATATATATATATATATATATATATATCTGGAATACCTACATCCATTCTTCTGATGCTCTTATATTCTGTCGTTTCTCAAGGAACCTTACAGGGAGATGTACCAAAGGCCTCCCACGAGTACTGAGAATAGAGAGAGAAAATAAAAATGCTCCATCGTAGGTAATTCGGGCAAATGCGGGAATCACGTCGCTGATTCCTGTGCAGTGGCAGAATATTGCAGCTGTACTACATTCTATCCGAATGCGATACGCTCCGTATACATGTAATCTGCAAGGTAGGCGCCGAGAAACCTCTTAAATTCCGATACCGATTTCGCCTCGATTACTGCCTCAGGCAACTTGTTCCAATATTCCACCACTCGACGCTCGGAGCACAGAGCGTGAGCGATACGCTTCAAATCCGGTACTACCAGTTTGTACCGGTGTCCGCGTTTGTCGCTTGGTGTGCGAACGTGCAGCAGCAACCTCGGCATGGGGAAGTGGCCCAGCGCAATATGCGGTGCGCCATTTGGAGATCAACTCGAAGCCGATGACAGGGCATAAAGCCCTAGTCTTCTACATCGGTCCTCGTACGACACCCCGTAAACTGGAAATGAGCCGGGAGGCTACATGCTGAACCCCTTCTAGTCTCTGTACCTCACCTAATGTGATCGAATAATAGGCGGGTGATCCGTACTCAAACACCGGTCTTATCATGGAAGAAAAAAGACGGGTGGCCATTTCTTCGGACCATGTGGAAAAGCTGAGTCTAAGTGACCGAAGCAGGAATAATTCTTTTACATACAGTCTGTTCGTGTTGTCGATGGACTGTGCCCCGATTGTCGAGAAATACGCCATTTATTCGTTTAGTTATTATCGCCACTACATATCCAACTGTACTCTGCTTATGCAGCCAACTCCCAACTAATCACCAGAACGGATGAAAGACCCTCAATTGAAGGGACAAGAAATGTGAAAGACGAACAACTGAATTACTTTAAAAGCATCAGCGAGTCCATTGTGCAGATTTTGAAGTGCAAATCAGCGGGCATTCTGCCACACCGCCGCTTGCGAAATCACTTACAATCACGAAGCAAGTTGATGCCACATATCTCACTTTGGAAGGGTATCAACGTGAATTCACTGTTAAAAAGAAACGAGGTCCTTGGACCAAGTTTGCTGAAAATTGGTAGTGTGCTGAAGTAGGTTCTTCAGACTGTCAGCTGATAATCATCCCCATTTTCAAAAAGGATTGTTGGGCTTGTTGTTAAAAGCACAAACCTACAAACGTCTCAGGAGTATCATTCTGCGATGACTCACGGGATCTCATGAGAACCGGCTCACTGAGAGCAAGGCTGCCTCTGTCTTGGTCGAGTGTGCATTGGCTCTTCGTTAAGTACTTGAACCATAACAGGCATACAGATAACCCGCTACCATGGGTTTTTCCTGAATTGAAGGGTGTAATCGAATGTTAATTGTGGCAACTCGTGATACTACCCGTCGCGGCAGAATGAATCGATGAAACTCCTTTCCATTCCAATATAACTACCGTGACTCACTAGGTCAAGAGTGTACGAGAAACTCACAACGGGGTTCGACAGAACAAGTGAAGTACTCCAGGGTTAGTATTTTCCAACGTTGTGACTAGAATAATCCCAAATCATTTGTTAGCTTAATAATAAAAATAAAAAATAACGTGTCAGCAGTACGCCGTAACGGCGTTTCGCTGCCACGCGACCACCGCCAGTCGCGCGCGGGCTGAGTATACCGCGAGGACGCCCACACTTACGCGGATTCGAACCGGTGACCTTATGGTTGCAAACCAAACGTGCAGACTACTCGGCCACCGGCCGAGTCGTTCTGCAACAGAGGTTCTGCAAGATGGACAATGAACAAAACTTTTGCATGCGGATGCTACAGTTCCCATTAGGTTAACAAGTAGCGCATGTGCCTTGTACCTTCAAGACACTGTTGCAGGACTAGACCGACACTCCATCGTATTTACCTATTTGCGAACAGGCACTGGCAGTGTTAGATCAGTCCACTTTGCTGTGTCACTTCTGGTGGTCATATTACTGAGGATGCTACTTCGCGTATCAGTAAGGCCCGTGTGGCATTTCACAGGCTCAAGCATCTATGGAGACAGCATGACATCAGCCAGTCAGTGAAAGGTAGGATGTATAACGCTGCGATAAGGCTTCATGGGTCAGAGATCTGGCCAGTTTGCAGTGAAGACATTAAACGCTTGACCGTGTTTGACCACCGGTGCTTGCGGAGTATTGCTCACATCTGGTGGGAACACCGAGTGAGTAGCGCTGAGGTCCGCCAGTTGGTCTTCAACAAGAAGACTTCTTGTGCCCGACTCGAGTGTTTGCTTGAGTTTCATCGCTTACCTTAGCGATGTCTTGTCCCCGTATATTCGTTGACGGGCTACCTTGAAGGACAGTATACGCTGTTGCTGCACCAAGTCGGGTGAAACCGCCATGTGGTCAGTCGATGACGTGACATGAAGGCATGCAGAAATTGTACTTGGTGACACTACTACATGTCGTTTTCGTGAATGGCTGCCTGGGGATTGCTCCATATCAATAGGTAAACACCTTTTCAGACATGCGCAGAGAGTGGCGTTCCTGCGGTCGGTTTCCTGCACCTAGCTATTGATATTAATACCATCCCCATTAATGTTATTCATTGCCTTGGCCCTCGTCCCGTTGTATTATGTTTAAGTCCTGTTTCATTTCCTCACTTATTATATATCGTTATCGTGGAGATGAAAGTCGTGGCAACCGAATAGATCACACTTCGGTGCACGGATCGCTGAACTGAACTGAGCTGATGTTCAGAATTCAGGGTATATCGAAGTAAATAAAAGCTACAGCCCTTAAAAGATGAACTGATTGGTGAAGCATAAGTACATGAAAATAGCCCGGAACATGCTCCATTACCTTCAAAGTGGGACAATACAGTTTTGATTGGCGATTCGGTTCCGGAAGACAAAAGAAAACAAACTGTTAAATCTCATCAATCATTTACTATAATCCAGCAGAGGGAAACCCAAACGGATGAAATAACGATAAGTAAAAAAGTTCATAGAATTACCCTGGGGACAAGAATGCTGAGAAGAAAAAGATGAGTGTTACGTTATTTGGTCCCTTTATGAGGATCTGTGGAGGTCAGTGGCATCGCATTTTGTATTCAATATATGTAGTCCATATATTGTTGTAACCTGCTTCCTACTCTAGTTAAGTAATGCAACCCGTTCAGTTGATATCCACAATAGAACAACACGTAAAACGCCCCTTCACCAAAGTGTTGGTCTCAAAAGCTTGCATAACGCTGACATTTTTCGCTGCCCTTAGCAGGCGCATTCAGTTTATAAGTCAAATAAAAACCCTTTAAACGTCCCGATAGTTAAAGCTGTCGTGTGGATGTGCTACAACGTAGCCTAATCTTCGTGATAGACACACACAGTTACAGAGGAAGTGAAATGAAATGTGGCAATGAAAATGCCTAGTGCAAAAGCTTACCTGCTACTGTGCACCAAGCCCTACGACTATCTACATAAAACGTTGACATTGACTGAAGTTGATTCGAAGTGCCAATAAACCCAGTCAAGCATGGAAAGGGAACAGGTGACCTAGAAAAAGAGAGAAAAACCACGAATTACTCAACGATGAGAGGGAACGATGTGTGGCCGGTAGCTACTCGTCTGACCAAGAAGCAATGGTTGCGGACATACAATTGCAAATATTTACCACCTGGCTAGGATATTATTAACTTGCGCGGTTCCGACCCGAATTTATGAAAGAACGTTCTGGTGGATGAACTGCCAAACGATGCAGAAAATTGTTTAGGGGTTCAACAGCACATTCTACTAAAAATTTAAGTTTCAATTTACCTGGGCCAACAGTATGAATGGGGCCGCTTTCATAGTGTGACGTACTTAAAAGGAACCCAGAAGTCCGCTACTTGTATCACTTCTGAGAGAATGGTTGGTGAAGGAAAAATAGTACAGAAAAAACGGCAACTCCAATACTATCCATTAACCACTCTAGATGGGCGTAGGAAACCATTGGATAAGAAGATCCAGTTAATTAGCGGCTAGCCCAGACGCGCAGTTCTAAATTTCGGGGAAAGAACTCAAACGACATTTGAAACTGTCGTGCAAAAGCAAACATGTAATTGTATCAGACCCTCGAGGTCGAAAACTCTTCTACAATCTAAATTTCTGCAATCTGTCGAGAAAATTCCTGATACGGACTATCTAAAGATAGCTCACAGACACACGTGGTCAGCTGGTGAGTACCCGACCGAAACACCATGTTCCAGCTAAAACACGTTCCACAGAAATTCGAAAACACGGCTTCGCACATCAGCGTCAAGCCTCTTAGCAGGCTGTGTCGACATGCCACCTGGTATCGAAGAATGTCAAGAGAGTGTGGCATCCATCCGGCGAATATTGCTTTCTGAACACCGGTACGACCTCGACCGCTATACGATCCCACACTTCGCGGATCTCACAGTCAAGTCGATACGCATAATTAATAAAAACGACAGTTCGCACATTCAACAAAATGCCGGTAACGGAGACAGACGTCGCTAAAAGTTACACAATGAGCCGGTTTGGGATGTTCGATATCCCGCGTGTACTATTTGTCGTCAGAAATGCCGTACAGTTTCTTCAAAGGCGCATTGATCAAGTTGGGTGTGGTTTTGATTTCACGATATCCAGGAGCATTTGCAACATGTCCGGGCAGTTTTTGGCCATTTATCTCGACAAGGGGTGGCGATCAATGCAAAAATGTTCGTTTGGTGTTGAGGCGGTCAATGCTCTTGGCCATCATAGCTTCTGAGGGTATGGGGCCATTGCAGAGTAGGGTTATAACCATCATCCACTATGTTGCGCCTCTGTCGTTCAAAAAAATGTTTTGACGGGCCTCACGATCAGACCACTGAATATTGAAATTAGAGAGGTAGAAGATAGAAATCTGTGTCGGTCCGTCATAAGTAGATGGGGTACCTGCAAGGAATTACGTCGCTGACTCCTGTGCAGTGGCAGAATATTGAAGCTGTACTACATTTTATCCGAATGCGATACGCTCCGTATACATGTAATCTGCAAGGTAGGCGCCGAGAAACCTCTTAAATTCCGATACCGATTTCGCCTCGATTACTGCCTCAGGCAACTTGTTCCAATATTCCACCACTCGACGCTCGGAGCACAGAGCGTGAGCGATACGCTTCAAATCCGGTACTACCAGTTTGTACCGGTATCCGCGTGTGTCGCTTGGTGTGCGAACGTGCAGCAGCAACCTCAGCATGGGGAAGTGGCCCAGGCGCAATATGCGGTGCGCCATTTGGAGATCAACTCGAAGCCGATGATATGACAGGGCATAAAGCCCTAGTCTTCTACATCGGTCCTCGTACGACACCCCGTAAACTGGAAATGAGCCGGGAGGCTACATGCTGAACCCCTTCTAGTCTCTGTACCTCACCTAATGTGATCGGACAATAGGCAAGTGAGCCGTGCTTAAGCACCGGTCTTATCATGGAAGAGAATAGGTGAATAACAATCTCCTCAGACCAAGTGCAGAAGCTGTGTCTAAGTGCCCAGAGTAGGCGTAGTCTGTTTCCAAACAGCCTGTTCGTGTTGTCGATGGACTGTGCCTCAATTGTCAAGACATATGCCATTTATTCGTTTAGTTATTAACGCCACTACATACTTAACTGTGCTTCGCTTATGCAGGTTCTCATGGACCTTCTCAGAGAGACGCACGAGAAATTCGGGTTTCCTGATATGGTACGCAGTTTGTTTAAAAGTGGCTAACGTCTAGATAGCTTTTAGGGTGCATCAGGAACAGGCAACCGCACTGTCGCTCAGTACCGACACCACAGACATCGCATCTGACTAAACATGGCAATCCTTGGCATTTTCTTTTAAACGACTGTAACTGATTGAATCTCGTTACAGCACGTTCGGTAGAAAACTATAAAAAAACATCTACTTAGCCATACGTCACTTTAGAAGTGTAGTAGAAGGCCGCACGTTTACCGTCTTCACCGATCACAAACCATTGACTTATATGTTCAGCACGATAACTGACCGAGACCACTAGAGTGCACAGCGCCGTAGCCTATTCGCGTTATAGATTTCAAGCGATCTCCGCTGATGCCGATACAACTATCGACCTGGCAGCCATGACCACTACGCAACTCAGTGATCTTAAGGTACATTTATCACGCAGTCTACCTCGCTAATCATCCTTATACACGTTAGTTAGAAGTGCAACACATCACAGCTATTATGCCACACCAGATAAGAGCTATCACTGACGAGCAGGCATCGTTCCGGAGAGCTAGTAGTTAGCCATTGTACCGCAAAAGGAAAATTAATATTAAAAATTAATATTATGCCTAAAAACTGAGATCGTGGTTGGAGGTGGGAGGGACAAAGAAACCTACAACACAAACGCCATTGAAGTCGGCTCCTAGCCATGTCAACAAGTGTATCCAGCTACACATGTTCATCGTCTTTCAGACCCCAAACAGACAGTCGAGAGGATCCAACTGATGCCAACTTCGAAGCGTAGGGTTTCCATTCATCTCGACCAAATCCCGCTTGGCCATCTATTCTCTTCCATCCACACTCCCGGCGCGAAAACAAAGCACATCGCGGTAGCCGGTGTGCTAGTATGCACAACACGTCGACCAGCCATCGAAGCCTGGTGAGTGGTATGATGGTGCTGAGCGTTGCACTGGCTCTTCCTGCACAAAACATACGACGCCGAACACATTCATTGCCCACGGGGTGCTCCCACCAGACATGAGCTGAGTTGCAAAGGCAGTGATGATGGAATGTAACCAGCTTCTAATAGTCTGTCGACTTGATGGACCATGCTTCGCAACCGTACAAGAGGGATGAACACACGGCAGCACTGTAAACGCTACCCTTCAAGTAGTGATTTCGCGCCAGCGCCATAGGTGGCGAAGATTCGAAAAAGTGCCTCCAGCTTTCGCTACGAGGTTTGTGGCCTCGTCCTCCATTCAATTGGCGCTGATATAGCTGCCTAGATACTTGAATTCCTCGACGAATTCTAGCTGATCACCACTAAGGGTCAATTCAGGGGTGCGTCCATGCCAATCTTGAAGAATGGCTTTGCATTCCAACGGTGCAAAGCATAGCCCGAAACGATTAACAATCAATGCTATTTTGTCCGGTGCTACTGGGCACGTTTAGAAACTGTCGCAGATAAGGCCAGTGTCACCGGCGTACTTCAAGTTAAGAAGCCGGTCACCTGAGGGCAAGTACGCCTTGCAACTATTTTTCAGTGAACGCAGACTTCGTCAATGTTAACTTAGAAAGGAAGGCATCGGCAGTACGCCGTACCGACGCTTCGCTGCCGCGCAACCACCACCGGTCGCACGTGGAGTAAGACACTGCGAGAGTCACCCCGTCCCTACGCAGGCTCGAAGCCGAAACCTCAGATTACAAGGCAGGCTTGTGATCCGTAAGACTACGGGCCAATATTTAAAAATAAAAGGTGACAGGGGGAATCTGTCTCACAACGCAAGAGATATTGTGGAGCGGGAACAGTTTGCCGCAAGCCTTCATTCTGCCAGAGCTACACGCGTATGGCGCTAGGATAACATTTACATATTTTTCGGACACACGTTTCCTAAGCAGACAGTGCCAAAGAGTACATCGATCCCCCGAATCGAAGACACCTTTGATATCGAGGAACACGACTACGGCGGGTCGTCAATATATGTGACGGCGGTACAACAACTGGTGCAAAGTGAAGATGTGATCGAAGCACCCCGACCTCGAAGTAAAGCAATTTGCATCTCAAGAATCCGGCTTTTACGAATGCTAGTTGGTCGGTGAAGGATGACAGAGGCAAGTAGGTTGGAGGTGATGGAGATCAGACCAATTCCACTACGGTTGTCGTATTCTGCAGATGAGCCTCGCATGAAGATCGGGACAATAACGGAGAGGTTTCAGTCTGTTGGGACAGTTTCTTGCACCCACGCTTTCACTAGTAACTCGTATAAATCATTCACCACAGCAAGTCCCTCGAATTCGAAGAGGTCTGGAGGAAGATCATCTGGTCCGGCGGCTTTATTTAACTTCAACAATCCGATCTTACGTTCGATTTCTGAGTGAGGGTGGATCATTATCATCACCATCATCATTATACATGTTAGCTAGAGGTGGGAAACACCTCAGCTACTGTGCCGCAATACATAAAAGAAAAAAGAGGAAAAATGCAACAGGTGCATACCAGCTGAGCTACCAGCAACGGATAGGCACCGTTCCGGTAAGATGTCAGCCGGCTACAAAGCAAAAAGAAAAATTATTGTTTAACGCTACGAAATGAGATCGTAACTGGAGGGGGAGGCTAAAAGGGATGGGGAGGGACAACGAGACGCACAGCAGGGACGCCACTGAGGTCGACTCCTTGCCATGTCAGCAAGTGTATCCAGCCAAACGTGTTCACCGTCTTTTGGACCCCAACCAGGGAGCCGAGACGCTCTAACCGAAGCCAGCACCGAAGTGAGGTCCTTCATTCCTATGGACCAAGTCATCGCTTGGGCACCCCTCCTCTTCTTCCACCCACATCCCCGGTGAGCAAACAACGCACGTCGTGGAAGTCGGTGGGTTGGTATGCGCAACACGTGGCCCAGCCATCGGAGCCTGGTGCGTGAAATGACGGTGCTGACCGGTTCAGTTCCTTTTCCTGTGCCGTAAACAAGGTGTCGAACACACTCGTTACTCACGCGGTGTTCCCACCAGATGTGAGCCAAACTGCAAAGGCACCGATGGTCGGACGTAACTAGCCTCTTCATGTCTGCCGATCTTAGGGGCCAGATTTCGCAACCGTACAGTAAGGTCGAAGGTACCGCTGCATTGTACACTCTACCCTTCAGGACGAGAGTAACGTCGCGCCGCCGTCATAGATGGCGATGGTTAGCAAAAGCACTTCGAGCTTTTGCTATACGGTTCGTGATCTCGTCTTCCATCCCAAGTGCGCTGATACAATTTCCCAGATGGTTGAATTTCTGAACGACTTCTAGCTGATCCCCACCAAGGGTCAGCGCAGGAGACGATCCCTGCCAATCTTGGAGGAACGCTTTGCATTTCGATGGTGCAAAGCAAAGCCCGAAGCGGCTGACAGCCAGTGCTAATCTGTCCAGCGCGGCTTGGCACGTGTGAGAGCTGTCACAGATAAGGGCAATGTCGTCTGCATACTCTAAGACAAGAAGTCGTTCTCCTGGGAGTAGTTCCACACCTTCCAAGTCATGTCCTGTAAATGCAATCTCCATGACTTCGTCAATAGCGAAGTTGAAAAGGAAAGGTGACGGTGGGCATCCTTGTCTCACACCGCTGGAGATATTGAAGGGTGGCGATAGCTTGCCGTAAGCCCTCACTCTGCCCGTGCTACGCGCGTATAATGCTCGGATAATATTTACATATTCCTCGGGCACACCTTTCCTGAGTAGACAATTCCAAAGAGCATATCGATCCACCGAATCGAAGGCACCTTGGATGTCAAGGAACATGACTACGGTGGGCCGCCAATATGTGTGACGGTGCTTCAACAACTGACGCAAGGTGAAGATGTGGTCGATGCAGCCACGACCCTGACGAAACCCGGCTTGCTCCTCATGAATCTGGCTTTCACGAGCGCCATTCAGTCTGTGAAGGATTATGGAGGCGAGTAATTTGGAGGCGATGGATATCAGACTGATTCCTCGATGGTTGCCGCATTCCGAACGCGAGCCTCCTTTAAATATGAGAACAATAACGGAGCGACTCCAGTCGGTTGGAACAGTCTCCTCCTCCCACAGTTTCACTAGTAATTCATGCAAAGCATCCACAAGAGCAGAGCCTCCAAATTTGAAGAGGGCTGGAGGAAGATCATCTGGTCCCGTGGCTTTGTTCAACTTCAACAGTCCGATCTCACGTTCGACTACTGAGCGAGAGGGTGATTCCAAAGGGACAGCCCACGGAGCAGGGCGATCACCGGCCGGCGAGTAATCTAACAATTCTATCCGATTAAATTGTTTTTCAAAATGCTCAGCCCAACGCTCCAAAGGTTTTGACAAATTGTGGATAGGCTGTCTAGTCTCGTCACGTATAGTTTCACTAACACCAAGTCTCCTGCTGTCCGTTTCCCACATCAGACGGAATAATTTACGATGGTTACTAAGGGCAGCGGCCACTTCCATCTCTGACGCACGAACAGACCACCAAGATTCGTGGTCTCTCTTCAGGCTAGCACGGAGTCTTGCCCGGAGCTCTTTGCGAGATTCATTGTGTTCGCTACCAGCCGGGATATGCCGGGGAGCGTAGACAAGTTCCACAGATCGCGCAGAGACCCAATATCCATGTTGGCTATCAGACATACCACATGAGGATTATCCTGCTGCTAGTAAGGTCTGGTGAACATGTGACCAGTGACCATCAGCTGTCTCCAGTGAGCGCTTACTCAACTCGCATGTCAACGTACTTCGATACGCATTCAGAACAGCTGGCTTTGTCAGTTGGCTGATGTCAATGCGCAGGTCAGCACATACAAGTGCACAGTCGTTGGACACACATGTGCTCCAAATCGAGAGACAGTTCTGGACGCAGCCTCTCCAGCGGTAACTGATCGCAATGTGATCGATTTGCGTCCATAGCTGGTTCGAGACTAGTGGGCGCCAAGTTACCCTCTGGCGGGTGCTGTGTCGGAAATTAGTGCTCGCAAGAAATAAGCGAGCATCTTCACACAAATGAAGTAACCGCTCGCCGCTATCATTGTGGGAAGCTACACCAAGTTGGCCGCCCAGATGCAGTTCATCAGTGGATAACTTTCCAACTTGCGCGTTCAGATCCCCAACCAGCACAACAATGTCCAAGCTTCTTCTGTGGTGAAGGAGCTCGTTCAGTTGGCGATAGAAGTCGTGTTTTACGGAATCAACGCTACGGTTTGTGGGTGCATAGGCAGCGATGACGAAGAGACACATGTTAGTCCCGTGCGACTTTGAAGCTTTGAACGAGCCAGCAAGTTGAACTGTACATATTCGGCTACTGATTGGGATCCAATCAACCAGATCAGATTCAACCCGGGGACTCAGGGTAATACCAACACCGGCTTGGCCGGTATTCAAAGCTGTATTGTCTCAGGATAAGCGTAATGAGGTAGCACTGCTAGTGTCGCCTGAATGGACCGCAGAGTAAACACAGAGCTCGTGGGTTTCCAACAGACAGCAGATATCGATCGAGAGGGTCTCTAATGTTCGGGCAAGTGATGCGTGTTGACCGATCTGTAACAACGTGCGTAAGTTGAGGTATGCCGATCTGAGGGAGGATCGAGGGTTCCAAATCAAAGCCGATGAGCCGGGCTTGACCGCTTGGTTCGACATGGGCTTTTCGACAGGGCAGGAGTGGTGTTCCACGTTTGCATGTGAGTTGAAAGTAGAAGATAAATGACTATCAAACATGGTGAATGATCAAGGATTAATAGGGGGATAAAATTGAAGTGAGAACGAGCGACGAGGATGGAAAATCCTGAGAGGAAGATTAAGAAGATGGGAAGGCTTGAGTAATAGCATACCAACCCCTACCCGCTTCGCTGGATGCAGCAGATAGGCCGCCGTGTATGATCCACTGTGACGATCAGAGCACCAAGAAATTGTATGAGGGAACGTTCATAGCATTGCGTGCGCAGGATACTGTCAGGTCGCCTAAGCCTGGACAAGAGAACGATTAGGGTCCTCAACCAAAGCCTTTGGCCAAAAAGCCTAACGGTAAGGCGGAGGGTTCGGTAGTGGACTACAAGGAGTCCGTTTAAAGGAATAAAAAGCCAACCTCATTCCAACCTCCAACCTGGAGGACCGGCGGAATGAGTTTGCTTGGCCTTTAACCATTGACCAATCTGGTGTAAGTAGTTCCGAAGGTGCAAATAAACCACCCAGCATAGCTCAATGGATCGCGGAGAAACGCAAATCATAGCACCACGGTAAGGTCCAGCCTTATTGCGAGGATGAAGTGACCGTATGCGGGGACAAGTGGATTTGTTATGCAAACCAGTTGCGGTGAACGTGTACTTTGATGCTGACACATGAAAATGTAAAGATTCCTCTTGATTTTGCCTCATTCCTTTGCAGAAGCAAGAAGAGCCAATCCAACGTCGAAGTGCCGGGGGCCGCTTCACTTACCGGCACACAGAACTGGACACTCGTTAGGCGAAGGCCCCTATCGTCCGTTGTACCTAACTTGACTTGACCTAACTCCATCTGCTCCGGCGGACTTAGCCAACTTTAACCGTCCCATCCCACGTTCGATTTCCGTGCTTGAGAGCGGATGGAAGGGGACGGAAAAGGGAGAAGAGCAAAGGCCGATAGAGAAGCTACTAATTGTCTAATAAAACTGCTTCTCACCGGTTGTTCCACATTGCAAAACAGCGCATTCCTGTTTTCGCATAGAAATTTCATTATTACACACATAATGCACGAAATGTGAGCGTAACTCATTAAGCTTTGTTCGCAGCGTGTCAATGATAAATTCCTGTTACCGGATCAGCCTATCTGCCAGTTTGAGTCGTTGCAAGTGGTTCACATCAAAATTTGCTCACTAGTGAGGTGATGGGGCTAAAACTGAAGTTCCCCAAGCAGCAAACGCGACCACGTGTCTGTCAGGCGCACACAATGAATAAATCCACTACAATGCGTGAACGTGCCACACAAAAGGAGCGGAGAGTGTCTGATTTTTGTACTGAAAAAATGGCCTTGAGGGGCTTTGTGTGCCGGTACGGCAGGCTAAATGGTGATGCTTTCATAACTGGATATGAGATTTATATTTGTCGCTCTGTGCATAGGTATGTACAAAAAATGGTATTTGATAATATTTATTGGTTATGATTTTTGCGCTGTTTTAAATGATGTTAACTGGAGGAGGTCTCAAGTTCAAGTTCAGTTGGGACCGGAACGATAGGATAATCCCGTGAATGTTCCTTCTTTTGCTTATCGTTGGATCGGGAATTGACAGGTCTGCTTGAGATGTTGAAAAGCCTAAAACAAGGACCGCATCACACCCTGTCCAACCAATTACTGCCCACATTCTCCTGCCCAGCAGTCCCTGCCGGGCCGGTTTATGGGAAGTAAAAGAGTGAAGGGTAAGCTAAGAAAAGAAGAGGAGGAATGTCAGCTGAATAATGATAATACCAAGGTGAGAAGAAAATTAAAAAAGAACGAAGGGAAAGTTGAAGATACAAGTCGGTTAGGAGAAGGGGAAGGTTTGGTACTGCCACCCTAGAGCATCTAACTGACGCTCGAAACCCTCTACCGTAGACTCCCTAACTACGTGCGCCGGAAGCGAGTTCCAACGTTCAATAACTCGACGCGACAAGCGAGTTTCCGTCCTTACCCGGTCAGAACGCTGTTTGTGCAGCTTCAACGGGTGACCTCGGAGACTAGGCAGCTTGGCGGGACTAAATAGCCAGGACAAATCTGGACCGATCTTACCCGTTAAGATACGGTAAGTGAGAATCAAGTCTCCTCTAATTCTGCGGTAGTGCATTGAGTACATACCCAAGCTAAGCAAACGTTCGGGATACGTTTGCCCCCGTAATCCTTGCACTAATCTTTTACCCACTCGCAAAACCCTCTCCAGTTCCATTTTGTCCCTTACAAGACAAGGTGGACAAGCCTGGATACAGTACTCTAAGTGAGATCGCACGAAAGCTGAGAACAGCTTCACAAAGATATTGGCCGTTAGGACACCGAAGGAGCAGCGAATAAACCACATCATACGGAACCCTCTACAAGCAGCCTTCCTCCAATTTTCCCCAGAGTGAAGCAATGAGTTATGGGTCATACCTAGATCAACCTGCTGAATGACAACAGGGAGTTCACTTCCACCAACTGCATAGCGCGTGGGGGGACTAGCACTTCCAATGCGGAGGACAGAACATTTCACCTGATTTATGGGCATCCACCATAAGTTTGACCAATCCCAGAGCCTATCCAAAGCACTCTGAAGTGCCTCAGAGCCACCAGGGATATCCACAATATTCCAGAGCTTGAGGTCATCAGCAAACAATAGCGACGGTACTTCAAGCTGCTGGGGTGGGTCATTGACATAAATTGCGAAAAGCAACGGCCCTAGAACCGAACCCTGCGGAACGCCACTAAGAACAGCTTGTCTAAGCGAAAGGCTACGCCCCACGCGTACACACTGTTCTCTGCCCTCTAGGAAAGCAGAAACCCATTTAAGGGCGGCTCCAGATATCCCGTACGATCTCAACTTCAATGAGAGTCGCTGATGTGGGACAGTATCAAAGGCTTTCGAGAAGTCAACGAATAGCACGTCGATGGCGTGGCCGTTGTCTACTGCCTCAGCCCAGCTTTCACGAGCTACAATCAAATTTGTCAGACATGAAAACCCCTTACGGAATCCGTGCTGGAACGCACTGAGAAGGTTAAACTTAGTCAGGTGATTCTCCACCGAATCCCTGACCAATTTTTCAAACAACTTAACTACTACGCTTGTTAAGCTGACAGACCGGTAGTTCGCGGGCAGAACTCTGTCCCCGCCCTTAAAAATCGGACAGATGCTTGCCTTCTTCCATTCAGAAGGTAAGGCACAGCTGTCGTGGGATGTTATAAGCATGCATGTCAGAGGGACACTTAGCTCAGTGGCCAATTCATGCATCAGCTTCGGATGAATTGAATCAGGGACAGAAGCTTTGGAAGGATTTAGCCCTTGCAATAGCCTGGAGACTTGTGTCTCTGTTATGCTTATTTCAGTTAGGCAAGAATCCTCCGGAACTTTGGTGACCAGCTCAACTTGAGACAGCGAGGCCTCATGAGAAAAAACACCAGTACACTGTTCGCTAAGTATACAGGCATTATCATAGTCGGTATGCCCATGGGTCCCGTCCGCTCGTAGTAAAGCCGGTATAGACGCGTTTGTATCGATACGTCTCTTTATGTAAGCAAAGAACTTCTTTGGGTTTTTTACGGCAGCGTTAGCCAAATCCTCCTCGTACTGAAGACGAAGAGTTCTAAGATGATGCTTACACTTATTTCTAACCGCTCGATAGCTTTCGTAGGTGCTGGTTGATGAAGTTGCTTGGTAAGTTCGCCAGCACTTAGAGCGCTTCCTGAGCAGGTATTTACCTGTGTGATCTATTCATGGAGGCTGCGCCCGTGTCACCCTTCTCTTAGTGAATGGGATGTGGGGAGCAGAGATCTCAGTGAGGTACGCTTTAAATTTCTCCCAGGCTGCCTCAACGGTGTCAGCCACGGTGATCGCACAACGCAAAACTGAAGCTTTGGCTCATATTGCGTTAAAGTCTGCCCGCCAAATATTTGGACATGCCTCAGCGGTAGCTTGATGACACTTAGTTAGAGCACATCGAAAGGATGTGTAGACATGGTCACTGGCTCCTAGAGGACAGTCGTAGGTAATATCACATACGAAATCGTGTAACTTGGCGGAAATGAGATCCAAGGTAGACGGAATTCGGTTGCGCATATATCTAGTCGGGAGGTCCGCGAACTGATGCAAAGGCAGTTGCAATGTTAGCTCAAGGAGATCCGAACCGAAAGTGCCCACCGCCGAACTGCAAGATAGATCAGCCCAGCAGACTTCAGGGAGGTTGAAGTCATCCAGTATTAGACACCTATTGGCAGCCTGAGTACGAATAAATTCAGTAACCTCCCTGGAGATACTACCAGGACTTCGATATACCACTACAACTGTAACCTTAGCAGAGGAAGTGCACACAATAGCCGAGAGGGCTTCAGCAGTTTGATCCGGCGACTGGAACACACAAGTCCTTAACAAATCGAGTTTACAACTCACATAAAGAGCGACGCCCCCACCTTGGCGGCCAACGGAGCGATCGCACCTAAGCAGTGCGTAGCCAGGCAAACATACTTCACCGTCTGTGATAGCCGGGGACAGCCACGTTTCGGTGATAGCAAGTATGTCGGGACGAGATTTGTCTACATGTAGACCCACCTCGTGTACCTTGTTCCTTAGGCTACGCACATTACTAAGCACTACCCGAAGGAACTCGGCACGACCAGCCCTGGGTCGTACGCTACCAGGATAGGTTCTGGCAGGGCAGAATTTGACTTCCGGCTGACCACCTGAAAACCCACAAGACGAAGGCCTTGCTCACCAGCCGCCCGCCTGCTTTTGAGGCTTTTGATGGCTTCCTTTAACTTCAGTCGATCTGCCAGTGGGTGGTCCGGCTGAACGCTGACATTACTACCCTTGAGTTTGAATGCAAAGCGCATTAACGCTTTGCGTTCCTCCGGGGTTGAGAGGACTACGCGAAGTAGTCGGGGTCGCGGATTTGGCGTGTCAACAGGGACGTTCCCCAATCTGGTTAATTTCCTGATAGTGACACCGGGGAAACCAGGTGGAAGCATCTTGTTGACGCAGAGCTTGAACCACTGGAGGTAATCCAGCATGCGCTCCTTTGGAAGAGCTGCCGCGGATTCAGCTACGTTACGAAAGATAACGCTACTATCAGTAAAAGAATCACCTCGACGAGGCGTATTCACTCCACGCGTCTTCGACGCGACCTCAGTTTCGAACGGTTTGGCAGATGACACGGCGCGTTTCTTCGCCAAGTGAGCTGGAGTAATTGAGTTTGAGGTTTTATCCTCTGCCTCCAACTCCCTCACCGGTCTAGTCTTTTCAGACTTTACGGGTGTGGCCGAAGTCGACACCGCGCGTTGCTTCGCCAATGGAACTGGGGTGATTGGAGTTGGAGTTGTGTTCCACCTCCAATACCTTAATGCTTTCAATACCTTCAGGCTTTGAAACAGCCTTAGGGACTTTCTTAGCCCTCTTCCTCCTGCTTTTGTTGGGCTCAGGGGCAATAAGTTCGGTCACGCTTTGGACGGCTTCCAGTACATCAGAGGCCCCTTTAGAGGCATTCTGGACCGCTGGGACACACGACACGGTAGACATCACCTCAGCCGGATTTCCATCGACAGCAATTGAGGTTAGTTGCTTGTCTTCCTTCAAGGAGCCGACATCAATAGTGACTCCCATATTTCTCATCAGTAACTCCACTTTCCGATCAAGAGATTTGAGGAAAGACCACAACTGCTGGTTACCCAGCCCGATGTTGCTCGATGTCTCCTCAGTGACCTCAAGAGGCGTAGATTGACGGCGATGGCATAGAAGACAATTGAACAGCATGCTATCGCTAGTCGAAAGCATTGCATACTGATCAGGGCTCAAATCGGTGCAGGTCTCATGGTACCAGCAGCTACATACATAGCACTGCATGCCACCAGACTCGTCCGTCACGGGCTTTGAGCAGCTCCCGCTGCCACATACAGCATTAGATTCGCTGAGCAATGCAGCCGAAGATACATTAGCGTTGGTATTCAGTGAATCCGACATAACGCTTTTAAAGAGTGTGAAACAAGTATCAAAACGTAAAACCGACAAGCTGTTACCTGCAGGGTAGTCAACAGAAACAGTTATGGGTTAAACAAGGTGCAAAACAGATTACAAAACATAAAAATACTGGAAAAATAGCCAGAGGCTGAACCCGAAAAAATGGACGACGTTGGTATGTACCCGAAAACGGGTACGACGTAATCCGGGGAAAACGAGGATCCAAAATTCTTTGGATCAAGCTAAATTTGACAAAGTCAAATTTTTTGCACGACACTTGTAAACACTGTTCCGGAACTGTCCTTTGAAAGTAAAACCTCAAAAAGACGGCA